CGCCAAGTAATCTGGCTGACACCTCCAAAACAGGACAATGGGCGTAATCCCGTTCCAACAATCCCAGCAGCTTACATCCAATTATGCCTTGTTTGATGGCAAATTACGTCACGTAGCTTCACGTGATTCAGCGAGCTTCAGTGGGTGGACATTCAAGGTGATCTAAAGTTTTCTAACCCGACTCTGTGAACAACCCACAAGAAGAAGTTAAAAACTACCAGACTTTGAAGTGTTGTGACATGGAAGAATTTTTTTTTGGTCTTATTCTTAGGAAATGTACACAACGTGGCATTCTGAGTTTAACAAGCATTCCGAGTTTTCGATTTCTTTGATTGGCAAACTGGTTTCCCGCTGATTGACTGAAAATGATTCAACGCAATGAAGCTTCATTTGGAGGCTTATAGGATTTAACCAATTGAAACCATACAGATCTGACAAGCTCTGAAGGTAAAATAGTATTAGTAATATTCCTCATGTCTTCATGTCTCTAGATGACTTTCTACTTTTGCGGGTGCCTTTCGCGAAAAACTCTTAAGTGCGTCAGGTTCAATAAAACGTCAGCAAAACGAGAAAGCATGTTTCCCAGTTTTGCCATACGGAAATCGAGCGTATTTTAACGAGAATCTGAGTATACGAGCAGTTGCAAAAAATTTTGCGAGCACGAGCAAGCGAGCACTCATCTAATTTCTGCGAGTAATTCGAGCAAAGGCCAAATTTTACGAACACTTTTAAATTAATTGGGATCATTTGATTCCCCTAACCATGTGATTCCCCCGCCCAAAATAACCGGTGATTGTTGCGTTTTTAAATTCCTCCGGCGTAGCGTGGACGGAAAACATCTGATGCGTTTTCAGAGTAAAACCTCCGTTTTCAAATTTATTCCGCGTAGTGCGGGGCTTTAGATGCATTTTCATTCTGCACGAAAAACCCCTACGCAACGCGCGTGGTGTAACATTATCCGCGATGGAACTGGGTGGCACAAGAGTAAGGGATGACCCTACTTGCCTTATCTCTGATCGCGTCATAAAAAAAAAACTCACTAGGAGATTAAATTTGAGCAGAAGCTTCCTTTTTATTGAATTTTGGACGTGAAAACAAATAAAAAAAGTCCTCCTATACTCCTACGCAGTATGATAGGAGCGTCTGGGGCAATGAAACTTCACTTAGCGAGAAAAATCAGTCAAAACCCACCGGATGTTTCAACATTTAGACGTTTTTCTATCGAACAAATACAGATTATGCAGAGAGGTCTTTATGAAGTCGAAAACGATGGCAATGCACATTGAAATTTTGCGGCGAAATCCAAAAGATCGAGTGAGGCTTAGGAAGTTTAACTGAACTGAAATTGCCAATCATTTTAATGTTTGGTTATCTGAAGTATCCTGTAGGCAAATGAACACATATGCGATGCGTTTAAAAGCTAGTGAGAGAATTAATTTGAGTCTAAGATTTCTACCGGCGGACAACATTCCAATTTGTTCGGTGATCAACTTCCTTTGAGGCTTGAATTCAGAGTGTGATATGTTTCCGGTACGGAAACGTTTTGTCGGAAATCTCCCGTATACCTTCGGCGACATTTCTTTCATCCCCGTTTGGAACACCGCCGGAAAATTTCTGAGCCATTAACACGTTTCTTCAAGTAGTTCCTGTCTTTTCTGCCAAGACAAACACTGTAGGCTGGCAGGTGTTGGAGGATTCAAAGATAACTAGATTCCGCAATTTGAATTAATGGCAGAGGCGAGTTTGTGAGGCCCGTCCAAAAACGGAGGTTTCACTTTGAAAACGCATCAAACGTTCTCTGTCCACACTACATCGGATCGAAAACGGAGCAGACCTAATAAACATGGCTACGATTCACCTGGTTGTTCTACTGGTTTGAAAAACCCTACAATATATCTGTTGTTCTGAAAACAAGGGGAACACTGGCTTAAACCCTTGACTGTTTTTGACCTGCATAATTAATTTGTGACGGCGAGCAAACATTCAGGCAAAGGAGACAGTGAGTGAAACTGAAACAGGGCGAGACTGGGAAACTTGCCAGTTCACATTAGCTGGAAGTTATGAAAACAACTCTTCCCTTCCGGACCCGCACGTATCAACTTGTATCTTCTCATGCTTTCTTGTAGTTATTTGTAGCGATACTTAGAGGAGAAATTAAACGTTGGCTCCTTATATAAGTATGCAAGTATGACTGATTTTCGAAGTAAAGTGAAATCCCAACATTATTTTTAATTTTAGATCTCTCCCGATTTTAGAAATCTTATCAGGGTCTATAGCCATCACATCCCAAATGGCTTTAGGCCCCGTCCACTTAACACGCAGGAGACATTTGAAAACCGGCAGCTTTGTTTCTACGGTTAGGTCTACCGTCCACACTAATCCGTCACGAAAACCGAGCTTTTCGAAAACGCTCTTCAAACCGGAGGAAAACGCCGGCTTTTCGTTTTCGTGTGGACGGAAAATATTTTGAAAACAGAGCTTTTCGAAAACGATTGCGTCACCATATTCATGTGATTTTCCTGACCGAGTTTTCCTCAAACACAAATCCAAAATAACCAGTGATTGTTACGTTTTTAAATTCCTCCGGCGTAGTGTGGACGGAAAACATTGAAAGACATTTTGAGAGTGAAACCTCCGTTTTCAAATTTCGCCGCATTTTCATTCTCCACGAAAAACCCCACGCAACGCGCGTGGCCGGTAACATAATACGTGAAGGTACTGGATGCCATTAGAGTAAGAGATAACCCCTTTTGCCCTATCCCTGATCGTGTCGTAAAAAAAAACCTCACTAGGGGATTAAATTTGACCAGAAACTTCCTTTAAATAGACTTTTTGCGTGAAAATAAATAAACATTCTTCCTGTACTCCTACGCAGTTTTAGCCTGGGGCCATAAATCTTCACTTAGCGAGAAAAAACAAAAACATTCACTCTCCGACTTCTAGAAACACAAATTCAGAGAAAGGTCTTTAAAAAGTCGGAAACCATGACGGCACTGTGAAAAGAATCAACCACGGCACATTGCAATTTGCGGAGGAATCTAAAAGAACGGCTATGTATGGAACGCCAGAACTGTCTTATGATACTTTTTTTTTCATTATATTGGGTGGTTATGTCATTATATTTAGTACTTATGTTATTATATTCGGTGATTAACTCATTATACTCGGTGCTTATTCCAAACAAAATTAGAACCGAATATAACGAAGAAAGCACCGAATATAACGAAGAAAGCACCGAATATAACGAAGAAAGCACCTAATATAACGAAGAAAGCACCGAATATAACGAGGTAAGCACCGAATATAATGAAGACAGCACCGCATATAAAGACATAAGCACCGAGTGTAATGGAATAAGCACCGAGTATAATGAGTTAATCACCGAATATAATAACATAAGTACCAAATATAATGACATAACCACCCAATATAATAAAAAAAAGTATCATAAGACAGTTCTGGCGTTCCATACATTACCTTGGTTCAAGTTTCTTTGCAACAGATTTCGGAGATCTTGGCACGTTTGCTAAATTAGAATGGTTCACTCCTCGTCGGCCATCAGTGCTCGTACAAGTAGTAGCACTCTGCCGTGAAGTGCCAGGATAAAATAATTGATTGCTCCGTAGCCGTTCCAGCATTTCATAGCAACTCCCAAGCACTTGTGCCATCCCGCCATTTTGTTGCATTAAGGAACTCAGACTCGAAGCCAAAGCTACATGATCCGTGTGCAGTGAAACTGCCGGAACATTATCTGATCCATTAAAATATATATGCGTTGAGGACCGAGGTTCTTTTTCACGATGGTATGGTGTATGCCTATGGCGATGTGATCGATGTTTTCCCTCGTCGTGTTTATGGCTTCGATGTCTGTGCGAAGAAGATCTATGCGATCTAGGCTCTTGATCATTAGCCTGGTGCGATCTATCTCGCTCTTTCGGCATCTAGTGAAACTAAATTTGAAGTTGGCTTGTCGAATGACACAAGCGCTACTTCTGTAGGAGTAAAATCCGAGTAAACAAACTGTTAAATTAGGTACTGAACTCACCCGCACTCCTTTCTTGGTCCCATGATTGCTGGCGATCAACTGGTCAGCGCGCCACTTTTCAACTGTCATTCGTTCCCAGTCTGTTTCGATTTGGACTAAGCTCGCGTGTTTCACTGTCCCTTGGTATCCTGGTGCTTTGGGCACCGAAAGCGTTAAATACCGCAGACTGGGGCAAATGAAATCATCCACAATTCTGCTCATAAACCATTTACCTTCTTACGAAGTTTTGCCTCAAGAAATTTAAGCTTTCCTTAGGTTGTTATAAGCATAATGCGTCTCCGAAAATAGTCACAATTTATAATTTACAATTTATTATCATATTCTATCTTATTTATTTATTTACAATTATTATCTTATTCTAAGAGGGCGGAAATCGGGAAAGAAATGCAAAGTGCTAATTTTTGTCATTCATTATTAAGCGTTCAAATACTGAGAGCAGAGTAGGACGGACAAGGGCGGTCGTCGTGAGATAAAGGTACGGGAAGCGGGTAAGCAGGGCACGGGAAGAGGGAGGTTCTGAAGTTCCTGTCACCCCTCTCACCGCCACGATATGCAAAACCTGAATCCCGCACCAGAATTTCTTTTATGAATATGTCTTTGGGCGCATTTAGAAAACTCAGTGTGCTTACATTACTATATATAATAAATGTATGTTGCTGTCTGAAATTAACTTTGTCTTGGGGTTGTTATGGTATGGTTTTTTTGTCACTTTTTCCTTGACCATCCATCCTATTAGATTTTGCCAGCGGGCAGTTCTTTTCAATGCCTTTAAAAGCAGTAGTTCATTTCTTCCTTCGGAGACAAATGTAAAATAAGTTTCTTTGTATCACGTGATCACCTGTCAGGAACAGTCTTCAAACAGGGCGGCCAAACATTGAATATGGAGAGAGGTTTGCGTGACTCAGAGTAGTTAGGGAGAGAAAATTGGTGTTCCCACACGCTAGCAAATTTTTGCATAAGAAAAGAACTCATTTCCCAAAGCAGAGAAATTTCATTGTTTGGAGACACAAATAAGGCCCCTGTGACATCATATAAAAATGTTCAATACGTCAGTGTTTTAGACAATGGCTGGGAACGAGATCGTTAGTGTGGCAATCAATAATTCATGGTCATTAAAAATAAAGAAATAAATAAATGTTGTCAAATTTAAAACCCTTTCGAGCAGTTGAAAGTGTTATAAAAAAAGGTTATGCCGGATTTACCGTGACACTCGGTATGATGGTTGTAGAAAATGCATTGCCCCTGGCCTTTTCGTGTTCCGGAATCGTTTTAAAGACCATTAGGAAACGTTTCTCACAAAGAAAACCCGAATATTCGTGAGGCAAAAGAAAACAGGAGCTATTAACTGCAGCCGTGTGAATATCGTTCTTTCCTTGATGGTGCACGCAAGCTGCTTAGTTACTCTGACACTTAGATGTTAGACTGAGACAAACACAAAACCCACGGATTTCTATTTTTGTGTTTGGGAGCTGTTCCAGTCACGTAAGATTTTTTTTCAAACAAAGAAATTTTTCTGTTTCCATTGAAGGCTGCATTATCTATCCGTGAAATTCTCCCAGAGAACTGTTTAGAAGTTTTTCTACAGAATTCGTGGAAATTTGGCACATTAGTTTTTGCATTGATTGATGCGATAAAAATCCCAAGCCGAAATTCCAATCAAACCTTTGTTAGTCATTGAAAAAAAAAAAAAAAAAAATGCCACCACGTAATTATCTGTCTAGAAATTAAAACTCTATCATCCGTAACTGAAGAAGGATCTCCCTTAAAAATTCCGAACTAAAAAGTGAACCAAAATTGGGGAAAATTTCCGTAACTTNAAAAAAAAAAAAAAAAAAAAAAAAAGAGTAAACTACGAATGTGACCCCAAAATGAATACCTGATCATCCATATTTCCCAACTGCAAGAAAGGTAAATTACAGTCTCCATATGAGCCAGGCCGGCGTTCTTTTCCGGTTTCCGTAGTATGAAGCGACTAGGAGTATTTCTACTCCCCCCCTGGATGGGATGCTAGTCCATCGTAGGGTTACCCCCAGCATTAAATTCGCTGGTACCCATTTATACACCTGGGTGGAGAGAGGCACAGTGAGAGTAAAGTGTCCGCCTGCCAGGGACACAACACAATGTCCCCGATCAGGGCTCGAACTCGGACCGCTCAATCCGGAGACCAGCGCGCTAACCATGAGGCCACCGCGCCATCACAACGAAGGATTTCGTCAGTTTTAAATGATGCCGTACTGAATTCATCACCAGTAATATTAGTTCAGTGCTGTCACGACAGAGACAATTGTATCTCTGTGTTTTACGAACTGATTTGATTGATAGGATCGTTACGAACTTGCTGAAAGTAGTTAATCACAGTGTAGAATAATAACAAACTGTATTTAGTGTACTTTGATCAGTTTTATAGATTAAACCATCGATCACCTGTGATTAAAATCCAGGGGCCCGTTTCTCGAAAGCCCCGGAAACTTTTCGGGCCCGTTAAACCAGTTTTAGTTCATCTGTATCTAAAAAGGGAGAAGTGTATACGCCTGAAACTTCTTGTATGAAGGGAACCTCTGTTCATATTAAGAACATGTAAATAAAACAGCTCTGTAATCGTAAGGTTCGAGATTTTGCTATGGCTTTATTTCCGGGCCCGAAAAGTTTCCGCGGCTTTCGAGAAATCCGATTATCTTGCATGTACGTAGGTGAAGATATTTTCAGAACAGCTAAAGAGAGTAATTAATATTGGAGTTTCCAGTTTACAAACATCAAAATCTCAAATATAGGAATCTTTACTATATCTACGAAAGACTGTTTTTCCAGCAATTGCTAATAAGATTTTCAAGTTGTCGAATGCTATACACCACTGCAACACGCCGTTTGGCTGCCGGCTATCGATCTTCGAATGCTGCAGGCATGCAGATGTAAGTAATTAAAAGTACAATGGCCTCGAGGATTGATCCTGCCTTTGATTGAATAACAAAAACAGTTGTTCTTTGATTGTGCTAGTAGTTTCTCCCTTGATCCTGTTATTGAGCTCTGTTTGGAATGACAACAGGGTATAGGGCGCTGATCAAGGAGTACTGCAGCTCTGATGAAGTGATCCAGTCCGTTAGTAAGTAAATAAACAGGCCCACCGCACTTTATTCAGGCTGAGTACTAAAAATAATTATACTGCAATCCTTCAATTCGTTGTTCCTTTAGTAAATCATTTTGCCGAATGTCTTTTTGTGTCGACTGTAGTTAGCTCTCTCATAATAAAATTGTTTGCACCGAACTTGCAAAGGTCGCAAAAACGTTCGCTGTTGCGAGAAAAAAAGAGAGATATTTTGCTGGCATTGTTTTCCAAGACTTCCAAAGGTTCTTCCATGAATTTGGAAGTTTCCTCTGCGATAATCCTGAAGGACGTTTTCAAAGTAGCGTTGAAATGTTTTTCGGGAGTTTTTCATGCGAAGAGCTTTTACATCTTTCCCTTCCGTGGATGGAAATTAATGTTTCCTCCGAAGCGGGTGCGAACGGCAATGTTTGTTTTACAATTCTGTTACAGAAGTCTCCTTTTCGCTCCTTCCCCTTCCATGGGCCATGTAATTGACAGCTTTTCCTTGCTGATTTTTCGGTCGCGAACGAAGATGGCAGCAAAGGCAACACAGGACCAAAGCTGCGACTACAAATATCAGGGCCCCGAGAAATATCACTATGATCGAGATTGAGGACAACATTGCGAGGTTCGTGACTGCACGATGTGATGTGGCCTCGACAAACTGAGCTACAGCTTAGCGATTGACACAGGAAGAAAGAAATATTAATTCGGTCATTTCATCAACGAAAGCGCTTTTCTTGACATAGTAAATGGCCTTTATACAAATAATAAGTTTACAAAGAGCCTTATAAGACTTTTGATTGGTTGTTGAGAATTTTACCTCCGGTAAGGCTGTGGCCATTAGAGGTGACGGAAAGACAATGTCTTATTGACAGCGACGTTGCCTTCAAAATGTTTTAAATTTGTAAATAGAATGAAAATTAATGAAAACCGCTTCTCAGCTTCAAATTGCTACCGTTTTCATTAACTGAACTGTGTTGTGACTCTTTAGCGGCGTGCAATTAAGATGAAAACGGAGTGCAGCTTTATGTAAATAGAAAAAAAAAACCTATCAGCTATTTTCAATCTCATTTAAATCTGTCCTTCCTGCCGATGGCGGATTTTATTTTTTCTAGGCGAATAAATACGTCTTAGGTGTCACCCTTACCCAGAATGTTTATTCACTTTTTTTGTCAGTTATTTTGCACGTCCAAGCGAAACTGAGACTCAAGTTGATAAAATCGCAAATTCATTTTCATTCGTGCTGTTTGTTTTTCTCGTTTGCCTGTTCTATATTTTGTTGGGATAATATTTCATAGCTTTTCGACTTCCGTTATTTTTCGAAAGTGAGCACTTTCGTCAGTTCGCCTTTTGAGTTTTGGCTCGAGTTCAGTGGAAAAGTTTCTTACCATGCCAGCCTCAAAGACAAAGACACCAGATTCGACAGATTTGGACTAAGGATTACTGTAGACTGATAAACGTTTGAAAAGGAGAGGACATCAACAAAACAAACTTAGCTTGTACATATGCCTTTCAAAAAGTATATATTTCCAAGGGAAATCTTCCAGCTGTAAAAGAAATTGTCTAATTTACATCTACTGAGCTACACCTATAATTCAGTTTCTGTCATGGCTGAGAAAATGGCACAAGCTATTTAGCATATGCTAATCAGAAATGATGGATAACCAAAAACATTTTATTAAACTAAAAGCTAGGAGTACGCATCAGTGTTTTTTGGTAAAAATAAATTTTTTCATTCCTAAAATAACAAATTAGACACTGTGTCAGGATCTATGAACAAGGCCCTCAGAGGTGGAGAACATATATTTCTGTCTAAATGTTTGCCGCGCCACACAGTAAAAACAGGTGAATGGACATTGAAATATGTCAAGTTTGGCTTGTGGGGCTGTGATGACTAAAATTAAATCAAACACGCACCTTTTGAAAGATTAAACTCGGCAGTAAAAAACGCGAATCTTTAACCGATAACGAAACACGCTAAAATATAGTAAACTTAGTTCTTATGTATATATACCTGCTAAAACTTAATTCTGATTCGAAAATTGTCAAAATTTTGCAATGCGTTCTCTATCTGCGTGGGTACAATTTATTTTAAATTTACTTGTATTGACCATCATCAGGAAAAAAGTATTGTCCGGTTTAATCATGCATGAATACGAAATTCTGTCAACCGCTGTGTCTCTTTCGTTTTGCCTTTGTTCCAAGCAAGACCGCTATGCAAGCGAACAAACCGATCAAAGACGCCGCAATGTAAAGGTTGACAATTTTTCAATAAATTAAGTAACATCTATGATTGGAAATAGAGAAGAGAGCTGCTGGATATTATCAGCTAATAAAACGCAAGGATTGAATGTGAAGCTAGATTGTTCGCATTGCTGCAGAAATTAAATTCGCTAATATTCTCGTATTTCGACGGCGCTCGAGAAGCCATGGGCCATGAAAAAGTTAAGTCAGAGTCTAGACGCAGGTAGACGGCTTACGGATTATCGGAAATAAAGCTGCAGAGTTATTTCCTTGAAAAAAAAAAAACAAAAACAAAAAACATTTTCCATATTGATATTGCAATGAAAGCCAAACAAGTCCCTAAGGGTTATTGGCCACGCTTGTTTGTTCAAGATGGCTGGGTATTGGCCATGCTTGTTTGGTCAAGATGGCTGGATATTGGCCACGCTTGTTTGGTCAAGATGGCTGGGTATTGGCCACGCTTGTTTGGTCAAGATGGCTGGATATTGGCCACGCTTGTTTGGTCAAGATGGCTGGGTATTGGTCACGCTTGTTTGGTCAAGATGGCTGGGTATCGGCCAGGTTCTTTTTTGCGTGTTTATGGACCTCTACTCCATATTAGTCCACAAACATGGCATAGCAATTTTTTCTTGGGCAATTCTGTCCAAGGGGGAAAGGTGTAATGAGGTTAACCCTATGTGAAGCACCTACCCGTGAGACAATGCCAGACCACAACACCGGGAACTACGTGTCCTGCTCTTTATGATAAGTATTTGGGTTCTTTAACGTCCCCTTCTAAGCATGTAACACTGAAGATGCCGGAGACGGGACCTTCGATTTATAGTCCTCATCCGAGAAGACTTGAACGTCTAACCATTTGTAGATGTAATTACAAAGGCAACACATACAAATGAGAAAAAAAAAGAAAGAAACGAGGGTAATATTCAGCCATCTTGACCGAGCAAGCACAGTCAATGAAGGATTTTATAAATGGAATAATGAGCACAGTACACAAATGCTCGGGACAAAGAGCGTATTCCTGAACGGGCAAGATAGCGCGAGGGTAATATTCAGCCATCTTGACCGAGCAAGCACAGTCAATAAAGGATTTTATAAATGGAATAATGAGCACAGTACACAAATGCGCGGGACAAAGCGCGTATTCCCGAACGGGCAAGATAGCGCCATCTTGCGCGCTCGCTCAAACTTATGTCTTAAACTGGCACTTTATCGTATAAACTGATATATTTTGTTTTCTTTCGTTTCTGCTCAAGATACAAAGCAAGTTGCAAAGAGAATATTAGATTTATGTCATCGTGGTTCCCTCTAATAAAACCAAATCCAATTTCAGACCCATCGGACCGAACTACTGAAAACGATCACCATACCCTTTGTGGGGGCACGTACTTGTATTCTGAGTATTGAGGCGTGGTCGGGGAGGTTAGGGCGCTGGATTTGAAACCCGGAGGTCCCTGGTTCAAATCCTCCACCCTGCCGCCATCTGGATTTTTTCTCGGTAGCCCCGAGTTTAACTCCTCGACCGCGCTGTGTAAACAGCCAACTGGTCAGCCTCCAACCAGTTGGGATCCTCAATAGTTTATGTTCCATTTGCAATATTTGTCCTCAATTAGCATAACAATACTAATTACATTTGACACTTAAATAAAGATATTTATTTATTATTTTTTTTATTGAGAGTATCCCTTCCCTACCACACCATTGCCTTTTGAAGTTTGCCTCTTCACTCTTCTCTCCACCTCAACCGATTATTGTTTTGTTATGGAGCAAGCCAAGACAGATATACAGTCATGTAGCACGCCGCTGGGAATACAAAATGTTTCCTTTTTCTTTATTTCACATTAAGAAATAACTCTTGTTGCAGTACAGTGATAGAAAACAAACTCGATACAGATCAATTTGTCGTATATCACCATAATTGTTGGTTTTGTCATAAGCTTGTTACCAAATATAACTATAAAGATGATTTCCAGTCCGTACTGCGTAGTCTCAGCACCCTAATATGTCTCACTCGACGGAATTCGAATCGATGTTATTCGTTACGAACTGCTTACCTTATCTTTGAGGCCTTTCAAATTCTTTTCCCAACAGCTTCATTGATTTTTACAGCTGCGAAGTTGTTTCATCAAGTGATATGAGAAAGAACGAAGCATAAAGCTTCGCATCCATAATGGCGCGGTGGTTGACATGAACCTTTGAATTTGCTTCATGTAGGTAGTTGCGATATGTTACATTTTGTGAAGTCTTACACGAAGAAAATAAAAAATGTGAGTGCGCAGTACGGACTGTAAGTCATCTTTAAGTAACATGCATGTGAATTAACGAACTAAGGTAAAATTAAGACCACTCATAAACACCAGTTGAGGTTTAATGTAAGTTTTAAGAAAGTGAGATTGACGTAAACTAGGGAATCAGTATTGATATAAAGCTTCATTTGAGTACAATTCTTTACCTCAATAAACTTACCTATATTTTTAATTATAAATATGTTGTGCCCAAATAGCTATACTATATTTCACTATTTTACAAGTGATTCTACGTTTTAATCATCTTTCTCTTCTTGTTTACCCCATGGCCGCGATGTCACGTGACTTCAACTCTCGTAACTAGAGTCTACAGGCATACCATTCAGCGGTTGGCTAATAGTTGCTGACGATCAGCCGGTAACCGAATGTTGGCGTTAAAAGTACAGAATACTGACTAATCTAGTTGTGCTCTTATTATCAAGGTTACCGCAACATTTTTCCCCTCAAATTTTTAGCAAACCTCACCACAAACAAGAGACTAGATCTCTTGCTATAAAGTAGGCGTTTGTCAACGTACCATCCCCATAGCCAAAGCCAAAAAAAATCCCTTCTTCACAGTACAATGATTCTTTTCGTTTATACAATATGAAACAACTGATCTGGCTGTTTTGAAGCGTTCATCGTTTTTTTTAGACAGCGACACGAAACTTTTGCAATGGACGGCTAAAAATGCTAAGAAATTACGTAAGGGTTTTCTAGTTGCCAGCCATCTACGAGAGTCCCGCTACAGTAGAGTCACGCAAGCCTAGATACCTACGTTTGAAGCATGTTTCATGCAACACTCAGTCTTAATATGTTGGTCTTAAGTATTTTCTATGGGTAACTGCTATGTACATATTTAACACGAGTTCAAAGCTCGTGTTACGAAGCTTTAACAGGCGATGGTGTTCTAAGAATAGCGACAGCATCGTCGTAACCCGAGCGAAAGCCGCTCTCCATGTCCTGGAGACTAGCCTCCAGGCTATGTGTGGTGATCGAGTGCGCGTGGTGCGCTTGGACGAGACGCTCCAGCCGTGAGATGATTTCGTAGTCTGGGACAGAAAGTGTGTTGATGTCGAGACCAAGAAGCCGAGCTAAGACTTGACGGAAGTCCAGCAACTGAAACAAAACAAGGAGTCAGGTTTGTACATGTATGAGTTTAAACATGCGCTCTATTTCCCACAGAGGGTCTAAAAGGCACTGATCAGAAGTTCTATATAACAAGGCATCGTCTCTCGTCCAGGGATTAGGCTGAGCCAGAGGGCGGAAGATGACTGACATTTCAGGCTACGCATCGTCAGCTCTCTTATCAAGAAGACAGGCGACAAGAAAAACAACAAAAAAAAAAACACAAGCTGACGTATTACCTAATTCTCAACACTACCATTGAAAGACAGATATGGCAACCAAAAAGGAAAATTTCACTTCCTAACTCACTTCTGTAAGTTTGTTTCTTCAACACGTCCGTGGCTGTAAGTTTTTCGACTTTTCTTGGACATGTCTCCCCCACCCCCCGCCCAAAAGAACTACATACATGTCATAAACAAAACTGTATTCACCTGTTTTTCTCTTACTCTACTCTCTTCCAGCGCTTGTTTAGTAGTTTGTAGTTCACTGTTTAGTTGCTGCACTGTTTGGGACGAGCGCGCTTTCTTTGCTTTAGCCTCGTTCTCTGTCATTTCCAGCTCGTTCTTTAAGTCGTGCAGTTCAGCTGATGTCTTATGCTTACTCTTTGCCAATTTATTCACCGCGTTCTCCAGTTCTTCGATTGTCTTTCCTTGCTCTAACGTTCTCACCTACAAACAGGAAACGATCAGTATAATGGCTTAAACAGTGGTATTAGTGCTTCTGGTGTAGGCAATAGTGATATTTCGAATTCTCTAAAGAATGCTGTTGAGAATGCTGCTGAGTTGTCAAGGCTGGTGTCATGGACAGCTTTATTAGTGACCATGACATGGTCTTTGCCGTCCTACATCTGAAAGTATCCCGACCTAAGACCACATATATTACAACTAGGAGTTTAAAAAACTACAATCCAGACGCTTTTCAGTTTGATATGTCCGGTGCACCC